GCAACATCTTTAGGATGGGTCAGTCCGGCATCCTATTATCTCTAGATAATATCTGCCCATGTGCGGATGCGAACACACCGTCATTGACTATGAGACTAAGTCAAACATCCAACACACACTAGTCTCACATGCATTAACGATATCCCACTCTCGTTAATACTCGACTATGGACATTTAGATAAATATTTATTTCAAGATGTTAGTCTCATCAGCAGAATAACACTATCTGATAAACATCTTTAAATATAAATCTAGGAATATAATATTTGTTTACATTAGCATGAGATGTGTAAACATATTATATCTGCCTATAGATGATAGAATAACGATAAACAGTTGGCCATCAGGGCACAACTCCAACAATCTCCCACTTGCACTATGGCCAATCTGGCATCGGTCTAATGCCCATGGACCTAGTGTGACCCTCATGCTTTAGCTTTCCTAAAGGCTTGGTCAGGGGATCGGCTATGTTGTCGTCAGTTTCTACTTTGCAAATCATCACATCTCCTCTGTCTACGATTTCTCGTATGATGTGATAGCGTCGTACAATGTGTTTGGTTTTCTGGTGAGATCGCGGTTCCTTTGCCTGTGCAATGGCCCCAATGTTGTCGCAAAACAACGAGATAGGGTCATTAATACTAGGAACCACTCCAAGTTCAGTAATGAACTTCTTGATCCAAACAGCTTCTTTAGCTGCCTCGGCGGCAGCTATGTACTCAGCCTCTGTAGTCGAATCGGCGGTTGTATCCTCCTTGAAGCTCTTCCAGCTAAAAGCTCCGCCACTCAGGCAAAACAAATATCCTGCTTGTGATTTTGAATCGTCTCTGTCGGTTTGGAAGCTAGCATCAGTGTAACCGACCACCTTTAGCTCTTCCTCACCACCGTATACCAGGAATGCATCCTTAGTATTGCAAAGATACTTGAGGATGTTCTTGACCGCTGTCCAGTGTGCTTCTCCTGGACTTCCCTGGTATCTGCTGGTCACGCTTAAAGCGAATGAGACATCAGGTCTAGTACATATCATGGCGTACATGATGGATCCAATCGCAGAAGCGTATGGAACCTTCATCATGAGTTCCTTCTGCTCGGGAGTAGAAGGACTCTGGCTCTTAGAAAGAACCGTGCCAGGTGTCATAGGTAAAGATCCTTTCTTTGAGTTAGACATGCTAAATCGATCAAGGATTTTATCTATATATGTACTTTGATTCAGACCTATTAACTTTCTTGATCTATCTCGGTAGATTCTTATGCCAAGGACATAACTAGCATCCCCCAAGTCTTTCATGGAGAAGTTCTCGCTCAACCACGTCTTTACAGAAGTCAGAGCGGGAATATCGTTACCCATTAACAATATGTCATCGACATATAAGATTAGGAATACTATTACACTCCCACTGACCTTCTTGTATACACAAGATTCGTCAGAGTTCTTCTTGAAGCCAAAACTGGAAATGGTTTCGTCGAAGCGTATGTACCAACTCCGAGATGCTTGTTTCAATCCGTAGATTGAACGTTGCAGCTTACAAACTTTGGCAGACTGTCCAGCAATTTGAAAACCGTCAGGCTGTGTCATGAAGACAACCTCTTTAAGGTTCCCGTTAAGGAAAGCCGTCTTGACGTCCATCTGCCAAATTTCGTAATCGTAATAGGTTGCAATCGCAAGCATTATCCGAATGGATTTCAGCATAACAACTGGAGAAAAGGTTTCATCATAGTCAATTCCGTGGATTTGTCTATAACCTTTTGCTACCAATCTAGCTTTGAAGGTATGAACCTTCCCGTCTACGTCTGTCTTCCTTTTGAAGACCCACTTGCATCCAATGGGATTTACCCCTTCGGGCGCATCAACCAAGGTCCAGACTCGGTTTGTGTACATAGACTCCATTTCAGATTTCATGGTTTCGAGCCATAGATCGGATTCGGGGCATGTAATTGCCTCGAGGTAGGTCTCTGGTTCGCCTTGATCTACCAACAAGACGTCACCTTCATCAGACATGAGAAATCCATATCTGACCGGAGGATTACGTATCCGGTCTGACCTACGTGGTATATCTTGAGCAATTTGAGGTTCAATTGCTTGATCTCTTTGCTCATGTTCC